AATTTTAAAATTATTTCTGCAGTCCTTATTATTCTGATGCGCAATTCATTTTAGTCACCTATTATAAATTGGCTCAAAAATTTTAAATTAATTCAATTTAGTCCCTGTTTATATTTTTATATTTATGCAATTTAACCCCCTAACCTTTTATTTTTCTTCTTGCAACTTTCAATTGATTTCAATTTAGCCCTTATTTTAATAATTTCTTATTTAATCTTTTTAAATTATCCTGTATTTATTATTTATTTGTTTGTTTGTTTTTTCAATGTAACATTTGTTTATTTTTTAGGACAATTTTAATAGATCAAAGGTAAGTAATTCGGATCGAATTTTAAATTTTAATTTAACTTTTAATTTTAGTAATTAAGACAATTGGAAAATTAAATTGGTACCGAAAGGGCAGTACAAGAGTGCTAATTATTCCTTGACTGTAATCGACTCCCGGATTCGATTAATTCTTGGTAAAACGCAAATCAGGTAAAGTGGTAAATTAAGGTATCCGATCAACCTAATTTTAAATGATCGATGGCGGCTCTAACACGTTAAATTTAAGTCAAAGCCCGATTTTGGGCCCACCCAAAGAACGGTTACAACAGCCATGTTGGTTTTCTTCAGTTAAAAGTTTGGAGTTGTTGGGCGTGAATTGGGCACTGGACGTATGTATAGTGGAGCACCAATTTTTGTGTAAGGTTGGTGATGATTGAAATGGATTAAAGTAATGTTAAGGGACTAGTTTGAGCAATTCAAAAAATGATGGGTTTGATATTAAACAAAAGTGGAATGGTGGTTAAAGGTGAAGTTTTGAAATGTTAGGTGAATTCTTGTGATAATTGATAATTTAAGGGATTTGAAAGGTTATCTTATTAAAGTTAGTTTCAATTGATGAAGGAAAATTAGAATCGAAATTGCGATGATGTCAATTGTTTTAGAATTTTATTCGAACTTAAGTTTATTATTAGTAGTTAAAAATACTAATTCGTGTTTGAAATTGTTATGTTGGGATAATCGACGTTCATGTAGATAGTGATCGTACTTAAGTTCAAAGCAAGATAAAAAGAAAGGATAAAGTTCGAGAATAAATCGATAGTATCAAATAAGCTCGTGAGGCCTCAGGTGAGTGCAACTAAACTTTTTATAATATATAATACGATGAAAACTTACGATGAGTCAACCTCGACCGTTTTTTATAGAAAAGGGTTTTAAAATAGTATTTTATACATATATTTTATTAATTTATTTTATTTCATAACATATGTTTATTTTGGGTATGAACTGCCCAAGACCGTATTTATGAAATTTATTTTATTTGGATATATGAATACTTTTACATGTTAAATAGTATATGATTTTTAAGTAAGCCCACTGTATGAGAATGAGAGCTAGTGGTACAATTCGCATGCGAATAGGTGGAGTGAACAATTACAGGCTTACGTGTTGCACCAAAATAGATTGTTCATATGACTCGTGTGCCTTAGTGGTACCCAGGTGGAGTAATCGGGTGCAATCTACTGGATATTTTATATGTTATATGTTATATGTTATATGATACGATACTGTTACTCATGTGACTCGTGTACCTTAGTGGTGCCAAGGTGGAGTAACCTAATACAGTTAATAGTGGGCCCTCATATGACTTACGTACTATAGATTTCTCATGATAGTACAGTGGGCAACGCTACGAATTGAAATAGAAAAGTACAAATTTGATGCATAATTTAAAGTAAAGGATTTTAATAATTATTTTTATTTTATTTTATGTATAATTTATTTAAATAATGTTTTTATATACGAATATTTATTTTATATGTTATTTATTTTATAAGTTGCCTCACTAAGTGAAACAAAATTGAAAAGACAGAGTATTTATGTTCAAACTTCAATGGGAACCAAAACGATGAAGATGTAGAAGTATGCATAGAAGGACACGTTCTCCCCTCAAAGGATTGTTTCAAGTATCTAGGGTCTATGATACATAAAGATGGGGGTGTAGATGATGACGTTACACACCGTATAAAGGCGGGATGGCTAAAGTGGAGGGCCGCTACTGGAGTTCTGTGTGACAAGAAGGTGCCTCTAAAACTTAAGGGAAAATTTTATAGAATGGCAATAAGACCAGCACTGTTGTATGGATCAGAATGTTGGGCAACCAAGAAGGATCACGTAAGGAGGATTGAGGCCGCAGAAATGAGGATGCTTCGATGGACATGTGGTAGGACTCTATGGGATATGACGACTAACTCTGCTATTAGGATGTCCTTGGGGGTGGTGTTTGTTTCCGAAAAATTGAGGGAGGGAAGACTACGGTGGTTTGGGCATGTCTTTAGACGACTACTGTCGGATGCGGTCAGGAGGGTAGAATCGATTACAGTCGACGGTGCCAGAAGGAAAGGACGACCAAGGCGGAAGTGGGAAGACTGCTTGAGATCTGATTTGAGGGATTTAGCCCTTACCGAAGACATGACCTCTGATAGAAAAATATGGAGGCTAAATACTAGGGTAGTCGAGTAGTGTGGGTCACATCTATAGGGTGTATCATCTCTGTCTTCTTTTAATGTCTTTGTAGTATTTTCCATGACTTCTACTTTTTATATGTTTCTGTTATTGGTATTTATGAAGGATTAGAACTGCGCTTGCTATCGTTGACTTCTGTGTATCATTCTCTTCATGTTTCCTCTTTTAAATTTAGCCGGGTCTTATGTTTCTGTCTATATGCAGAGATTCTTTCGCAAGGATTATTATGCAGGGATTAATTCCCGTTACAGACGCACATATGATTTTAATGACTGCATATGAATATTGTTTAGCTATGTATTTATTTATATATGCACTGCATTTTATCTATATTTTTAATTTTCTGACTGCCAGAGGTCTTCCACGGAAGCTACTCTCAACCTGGCGTTGGGAGCAGCCTACTACCCTACCTCCCCCTTACCCCATACATATGGAAATTGGGTTTTGTTGTTGTTGTTGTTGTTGTTGTTGAACTCAATAGAGTAGGGAGCCAGGCATGACATCCTACATTTTGAGAGATCAATTCAGACATCCAAAATCAATACATCTTTCAGACATCATAACTTTTGTTATGATACTCTGATTCGAATATGTCTGAACTCTTTTAATTATATGATAAATGAATAGTATTTTACACATTTTATATTATAGTTTTTAAATGCAATTATTTATTTTTAATGTCTATTTTAAATGAAACAAAATTTTACCGATTTTTAAATTGTATATGTCGTATACAATTAATTGATGTGATACTTCTACCTCATATATGGGACCGTATACGGGATAGGGGTGTTATATATCCAATTGAAGCAACGAAAAGAAAGAAAAAGAGAAGATACTTACCCAATATAAGTATGTGTTTATTTTTAGTGATAATACATATCTATACCAATATAAGTAGAGAAAATAACTTCAGTGACCGAAAATGCCTTAATATACGATTTTAACCATTTTTTTTGGATTTGCAAAAATAACCAACAAAATCGCAACGCGATTTCAAATTCACAACGCGAACTCTTATTTCGCAACAAAGTTTCCAAATTCACAATGCGATTTTCCAAATTCGCAACGCGAATATGTAAATTCACAACGCAGATCTGAAATTCGCAACGCGGATCTGAAATTCGCAACGCGGATCTGATTTTCGCAACGCGAATATGAAATTCGCAACGCGAATTTGTGTAGCGAAAGTGAAATTCACAACATACGCGAATTTGGAGAAAGGTTAATTGTAACCTTTTTTTTAATTATCTTGTCCTTGTCTTTCTGCAAGATACGAATTTTTCCTCTTTCATCATTGTTTTCGTGAAATATAAGGGCTTCTTGTTTTGTCTTTCTTGAGCTATAGAAGAAATCGAGTATCCTATCACAGGAGAACGAAAACCTTAAGATCAACGAAGCAACAACAGTCGACAACATCAGGGATTTGAAGTTGTTGTGCGATGCAAGCTGTGAAGCTGATGATCCAGAGCGAGTTAAGAAACAAAAAGCTGCAACCAATTCTGCAGATAAAGATCATAAAGAACAACAGGGAAAGAAATCAAAACATAACAGATCAAAATGCGCTTGTTTGAACTTATCATTCCCGAATTACAAAAACAAGGATGCAAATGATGATTCCAAGCTCCCACAGAGAGTAAGTTATGGTGATTCTGACTCGGATTTCTCTGATGATCCACTTAAAGGCTCCATTTTTTATACTACTATTAAATCCTCGAAGACTCCTTCAACATCAAGCTCAAACCATCAAAGGAAAAAGTCTTCATTGACAGATGATGAAGCGATGAATGGGGAGGAGTTTGAGCCCGTTGATACAAGCAATTTCGCGTTGTGAATTCGCTAATTTCACAACTCAATGCTTTACCAAACTCACCATCACCCGTTTCTCTTCCAATTTCCCTCTATTCCTCCTCTTCCTTCAACTTCCCCTTTGCTATTATCATCTTCTCTTCAAGTACTCAAAAGCTTTTAGCTTTTAGTTTTTGCGCTCAGTCTCTCCCCTTTGTTCGTCTCTTAAGGTAGTAGTTTGTCACTATCATCTGGTGTTTGTGTGAAATACGATTCCTTGCCCCGAACTCAGATTCTATGACTTGTTGTTACAGGAAAAATAAGAAGGGAAACCTGCTTCTCTGTTTGGAACAGTAACATAAACAACGATGCTTGGAAATGACAACATAAAATTCACAACATATAATTAAAATTCGCATTGCGAATTTCAATTTCGCAACACACAATTGAAATTCGCGTTGCGAATTTCACTTTCGCAACACAAATGAAATGCTCTCTCTTCTTCATCATCTTCTTCTTCTTATTACCTTAAAACGAGTTGCGCTTGATCAAAACAAAAAAGGCATGCACTTGATCAAATGGACCTTGTCTATAAAAAGGTTTAAAGAGCTTTTGTTGCAAGTCCTAAGGCGCGATGCCCAGTCGCACACCTTAACAATACTGGTTATATGAAGAAAGCACACTTATATAAAGGAATAAGATGAACAAAAGATTCTTGTTCTTCAATTATTAACTTTAGAATTACACCAAATTTCAATAATCAGGAGTGTCATTGTAATTAGATAGCACTAATGGAAGTGAAAGACTATTCTAGCATTACTATTTTCTTAATAAAAAAACCTCGAGTTAAACTTAAAACTGTAGGATACATTCAATGCTTTGTTGCGAATTGTTTAGTTTCGACAGTTTCTCAGTTAGTATCTGCCCATCAAAAGCTTCGTTGCTCATCTTGATGCTTTATGAGCTTTACATAACCTGCAGAAAATGCATATTTAGAAGGGAGAGAAAGGTAGCAGATAAATGTATAATAACATGAAAAAAATGCTTCAAAAATACTCAAGTTCTTCTATAGCTCAAGAAAGACAAAACAAGAAGCCCTTATATTTTTCATGTTAATATGCATTTATATTTGACTTTCGCGTTGCGAATTTGACTTCTGCGTTGTTTATGTTTGCGAAATTGGAATTCGCGTTGCGAATTTGTTGGTCATTTTGGTAAATCCAAAAAAAATTGGTTAAATTTGTATATTATAAGGTATTTTTTGTCACTGAGGTTATTTTCTCATATAAGTATTATGATACAGATTATTTTTACTGAGACTAAAAGAAAACTAACTCCTGAAATACAATTATAATAGAAAGAATTATGCCAGATATTTGGGCAAGTACGCTTGGTCTTAAGTTTGAACATGCAAAAGTTTCAGTACTCCAAATAGTACTGAATCAACTGCGGCTATAGCAGCATTGTTTAATTGTTTAAAGCAAATGAGCAACAAGGAGAAAAAGAAAAAAGCAACGTAAAACTGCAAGACCATTACGAAAACTAACAAGTAAACCACAATCAAAAGCTCAGCATTATTCATGCCCGTTGAACAATGTGCATTGTCAACAGCAATATTGTATCTGCCTAAGCAAGTAAAGCTCACAAAGACAACAGAGGTTGCTCTTGCATCCACAGCAAGCCTTAACCGAATCGCCCTGGCTGCAGACGACAGAGGAACAATGAATACGAAGCAATCCACAACTAATTCAGAAACAAAACTGCACGAACAAAGCTGATGTATGTCAAACTATAAGAGTACAAGACCAAGTTCTGATGGACTCAAAGCATTTCGTATCCGATAATTATAGAGGTAGTAGTGAAGTTGCCCATCACCAGGTCCAAATTTCAGTTCTTTGAGGAAAGACTCATTACGCATGACATCAAGAGCGTTGAAAACATCAAAATCCTTCTGCTTGGCAACAATAAGAGCATCATTCATCAGCTGAAGCAATGGAGTCTTAGTGGAGACGTTGTAGTAAGAATAGGCAGCTTTCAAAATTGAATAATTTTGGTTGCCGAGAATTGAAGAGGGAAGCGTGTAGAAGCTGCAGAAGTCAGTAACGTCATTCGTCTCTGGGCTCTCAACCAAGTAACTGTCCACGACCCCCTCAGTAGGAAGCAGCCAATGCTCCACATCATTCTCATCAAAATCTGGAGAAACAACAAACTGGCTCAAGTAGTTTCTAAGCAACCTGGTAACAGCAGGGACATCACGAAGCTCCATCTTTCTGAACCCGGGGGTGGCTGGAGAATCAGGTAACTTATAGAGTTTGATGGTTCGGCTCATTGTCATCCTAGGCCCAAGCCTAGAAAAGCCAACATCAATAAGCTTCTTGGGGTTCAACGACCGATGCCAGTACTGGCAAGTAGTAATAGGTGTTGGAAGAACAACTCCGGCAGTATAAGCTGCCTGCCAAATGTTCTCCAAATGAACCCTCCTAGTTACCTCCTTAATCATCACAGGTGCAAGTCTTTTTGATCTCAGCTTCTTATGAACACACAGGAAATTGATCTCGGCCATCCTCACAACTTCATCCCGCACCCTTATTCTCGCAGGTATACCAGTAATGAAAGCAACAAGCTTCTTTGAAGCCTTGGCACGAACGCCAATGTGCCAGCTCTTATAGTAACCAGGAGGCCGCAATGCCCAACTAAGAAACTCCTTGGAATAGTTGAACCTAAACATATTCTCATCATCCTCTACATAATTGTTCTTCAAAAGATTATAAACCTCAGTACAAGTATCTTCGGAATCCATATCACAGGTGGTCCATTCATATGGACTTGGAAGGTTATAAGGTTCCTGCTTCACTTCAAACAATGGAGTAGGGGGCTCGATCAGTCCCTCAGGTAAACTCGTGTCCCCAATATCTTTAAATTGTCCAACAGGCTGAGTTTCCCAGAACTTGTGTTTCTTGGATAAAGTCATGGAATCCTGAATCTTTCGAACAATGGTTTCCAGTGAGCTATCATCTTTGGGCAATGGGTTAGTCTCCAAATTCTGATCTGGGTTTTGTTTGGGTGACCCGAGAGGTGAATTTTTATCACTCATTTCAGGCAATCAAATAATTTCAGCTACGATAAAACACCCAGAAGATTATTTCAGTACCTGAATCAATTGAAAAAGAATTGCATGTCCAAATTGAATACTAAAAATAGAAAAGAAAACAAGCACAGAAATAGCAGAAGATAACCAAAAACAATAGAATTTGTTACTATCCAAATAGATTCCCTCTACCAAATAAATCTATTGAAACGACATCGAACAAAAAATTGCAAACATGACACCATGGAATAAAAGATTTGCAGAGTAAGTTGAAAAGTGAATGAGAAACGCATACCTTACTCGGTTTCGAAGGATAAATATCGAGATGAAAAATATAGATTCAGATGAATTAGATCCTCAAAGCCGAAGTAATCGAAGGATTACTTTATGTTTGGTTTAATTTAGGCAAAGGGCGAATGTTTAGGGTTTTCTTCAAGACAGCGGCATTGGATACACCGAAGAAACTCCTTTCGGATAGTGAAAGCTGGAAAAATAGTATTTTGGTTTGTTTTCTTTAATGTTAAACCAAGCTAGAGCAACGAACGGCTTTTTCCTTAAAACCAATCGAGCCCAAGAGGCTCAAACGAATCTTTGACTCTTGGCCCGTTTTGGGGTCCAAAACAATAACGCTGGAATAATACAAAAAAATAACGCAGGCCCAAGTCGTCATATGGGAATGGTCTCTGCAGCATTCAAGACCTCAGTTCTTACAGTGGTTCCCACGCTTCAACAGTACAACAAGGGCAGACCCAAGTGCAAAACAACGATGCCAATTTCATATGTTAAAAGCTGGAGTTTATCAGGTTTGAAAAAGGATCTTAGTGTGTTTAGGGTTGCCAAAAGGATCTCTTAACGCCTTTATTTTTCTTCTCATCGTAGTTATTTCTTATTTCACATATACTTGTCATTAGAGGTGCACAAAAAATCCGAATATCCGATTTTGTGCAAAAAATATCCGAAACCGGATTTGGGAAAAACCGGTTTTTTTAAACCGGATCGGATATTTTAAAACCGGATAGTATAACCTGTTTGAGAAAAAAATTGGACGACCGGATTTTTTACCGGATTAAAAACCGGTTTGAAAAAAACCGGATAAAAACCCAGTTTTTTATCCGTTTAAAAATCCGGTCTGGGGTTTAAAAAATTGGATGATCGGATTTTTTACCGGATTAAAAACCGGTTTTTTTAAAAAAACCGGTTTTTTTCAAACCGAAACCGGTTACACCGGTTACATCATCCGGCTCTCCAAACCGGTTATGATCCGAACCGATTTTTTTATAAACCGGTTTTTTGGCTTAGTGAAAAAACCGGATCGGTTTTTATCCGATCCGGATCGGATTTAAATCCGACTATGTGCATCTCTACTTGCCATAGTAAGGAAGGAGTAGGAACAAGCACTTTTGGAGAGGGCAGTTCGACGGAGAGTTGTATGCTGTGTTTGGGAAGGTTGAATCATTCCCGAAAAGGAAACTATTGATTCTCTCCCAATTGGTTGGACCATAGGTGCGATGATCTACTTCACAGGCGTTGAAGGGAGAGTGAAGGGTCTCTCGAGTTCTAGGTGGCTAAAGATAGTTACTCTAGGGTTGTCTTTGCTTGTTCCATTTTGTCTATTCTGTTGCTGTTTTTTATAGCCTTTGGCGTTTCGTTTAATGGCTTATCTCGAGTTCTCAAATTTGGAGCATCAAAGTCGGCATTTGTATTATAAACTTAAAAGGATTGCTACGGTATACATTGTGATCCGATTAATTAACTGAAATTGCCTTTCGGACAATGATACAATAAGAAACGACGCAAAATAGCCTAAAACTATTAAGGGGAATGTAAGAAACACGAGCGGCAATAAATTTACAGTGCCATCATGTTTCAAACCTCAAGAAGTCGCAGTCAACTGAGAAAGCAATAACCTTAGGATGAAAGAAAAGGGAATCATAAAACAGCAAGTTAAGAAAATGAAAATGACCACACCATGGTACTAGCCCTTCACAGGCAACCAACATTTTATACGGTAATGTCAGCCCAATTTCAGCAGAAACGAATGCTTTGGGTGCACAACACGAGAGCTCAAATGTTTTGTGAAGTCCTTCGAATTCAACCGAGGACAAAACATCAACCACTTCATGGTTTTACAAAATCCATATAGCTGACCATTTTAATAATGATTTCTCTCATCACTCTCAAATTGAAGGCCCACGATCCCCTTGAGGGCAGCTTCATAGTTCTTGCTGTTTCTTTCAGAGATTGCTTGCGTAGACTCGGAAGAAGGTTCAATAGGATATCGATGCTGACTTAAATGTCTGTGCATCATTCCAGAGCTAGCATCGGTTGTACGCGAACACTGCAGGTCAAACTCACTTCCAGCAAGTGCTTTGCGACCGCTGGCTCTTTTTGATGAGGATCAACCTAACTGCCCCATAAACTTCATCCAAGCAAATCCCGGGTTGTAATTAAATATGAAGGATGCAATAAAATATATAATTCTATTGTTAAAAAATTTAAAATATATAAAGGAACTTATATAGGCAGTGCAAAACTACCCCATTCGATACACATGCATGCAGCATACATGCTCCAATACTAATGTACTAGAACTAAAACAATGACTTGCAGATGTCAGAGAACTGATGGTGTTTGACAGCATTTACAACATCAGTCCTCCCTTGTATCAGCAACAATGAAACCTAGATATATATCATAAATGTAAAGGAAGCAGAACAGCATATATTGCATGCAAGACTACCAACAAATCTAAAAAGAAAATATAGCTTCAAATAATTATAAACTTTTAAAAATATAATAATTACCACAGAGTCTTTAGTTGAAGGATCATTAGGAATCAGATTCTTTTGCCTCGCATAATTTCCGGAATACATCAAGGGTCCCGACGAAGTCCTTTGCCGAGAGGAATCCATTGGTGACATACCAGTACTCGCACATCCTGCCCTGCTGCAACCAACAGATGCAAATGCTATTATTCCAAGAAAAAATGACTTTTCAACTTCAAAGAAATGGATTGGACATTTGTGATGCCATGCACTTTCTTATTATATATATCAAAGGTTTTTCTATAAAAATGTAAAAGCAATAATATTGCCAGTGTACTCGCATATGCTCGAAGGTTTGATACACACCCAAATAAAATAAAATAAACTCAATACCTTAGTAGCATTGCCAGTAAGGGACGATCGAATATATGAATAGAGCACTAATTACCTGCATGTTTGTCAGCATTTGCAACTGCAGGGGGCAATCCAGAACTTGTTCCCACAGCAGTGCCCTAATAGAAACAACCATTACAAATTTACATTCCATACCAATTACCACCAGAAAAAAATAAATAAATGAATCCTACTGAGCACTCACAAGGGCTCAAGCTGGAGGAGTGGCAAAATGTGATTGTTGATACTTCAAAATGGTCCAATCAAATACATAATCTAACTGGAAGCCTTTTTAATAAGGATCAACAAGAACAATAAAAGATGCGTAATCACTATTATGATCCATGGAGTTTAAACAAGTTGACAGCATCCACAGCTAAAAATGTAAATGATCAAACCTTCACGAATAAAGAGGTCACGAAATATTCTTTTAAGATAAGCATAGTCGGGCTTAACATCAAATCTTAGCGAACGGCAATAATGGAAGTATGATGCAAATTCTGTTGGATAACCTTGACATAAGGCCTGAAACATCATTGATCTTTAGTCACAATTTCAAATGTAAAATCAGAACTCTATAACAAACATCTCCATTTTTCTATTACCTAAACAATCCATTTACAAAATCCTAATGCAACTGCAAGACTCAAATATATCCTTCTCTCAACTTAAGTAAAAACCTTCATCTCACTAATTTTCTCATATTTCTGTTTCTTAGTTCCCGCTTTCAAACCTTGCCAAGGAAGACTGTCAAGAGAAGATGCATGATAATGAAAACTATTATACATGAACACAAGACAAACGAAAGTAGCATAAGTAGGAAAATTCACCTTCCTCTTAGAAAATACATAAGCACGTATCCAAGAGATTCTAAATCATCCCTACGGCTCTGCTCTACATGGAACCAAAAGAAAGAATCAGAATGAAGATTAAATGAAGGGTCTATACATCAAACAAAAGACACCACACAAAAATTGACCATACATACCAATGCCCAAGTTTGTAATCATGCTTGCATATCTTGCAGTTCCAGTCAGATTCTTATTTCCCTGAGACCATCATGATCGGGTTAAGTATAAGAACTTGTCTTTAAACATCCACCGCAACAAATTACAAATGAATACATTAGTAAAAAGAAAATTAAAATAGGCGTGCCAGCACAAGGGAAAAAAGCTGGATGCTTCATCACTGACATCACTACAACTAATGCATCATTCATTTTGATAGTTCTGCACAATGCTTTATCTTGTGAAATTAACAAATGCATCCCATAATAAAAGATCAAAGAACTTTTAACGCAAAAACAAACATGGTAATATACAAAATTTAAATACATATTTATAGAAGTGAGTTTTAAGCAAGGACTGCTTACAAGCTTGATTGTAACCTCTTCATTTTTCTGAATGTGTGTACCTACGAAGAAGAAAACACAAAATTAAACTCAAAATCAGAAGGGGAAAAAAACGGGAAAAGGAAAAACTGTAACGAACCCAAATAGATCTCTCCAAAAGAGCCGCTACCGATTTTGCGACCAAGCCGAAACTTATTGCCGACAAGAGACTCCATCAATTCAACTTACTAAGCAAAGAAAAAAAATAAAAACTCCAACTATAACACGAAACCCTAACTTAGGAAACTCCCCCAAATAAAAAATGAGGAACGTATACGGCAACACTAAACACCGAATCAACCACAACGACAATTCTTACACATCAAATTTTCGATCACGTAAAAAAAATCAAAAGGAACTATGGTTTTATATTAGATTTAACCTTAAAAAACAAAGAATAAAAATCAATACACCAATAATAATAAGCAGTTGGGGTTAGGTTAGGTTAGGTTAGGTTAGGTTAGGTTAGGTTAGGTTAGGTTAATGATATTAGAGGAATATGGGAAGGAGTAGCTAAGAAACCATAATTATATACTTATGGAAAAACAAAATATTAGCATGTTTTCTCGCATAGTGGATTTGATATAATTGAAGCGACGAAACGCAACAAAGAGAATAGAAGAAAAGCTTTGAACGACGGAAGATGTGTGCGTTTTGGTATGGTTTTTTTCTTTTTTCATTCTTTCGATTCTTTTTAAACGGGTAAACTACAAGATTGATCCCTTTCTTTGAAATTTTTTAAATTGTTTTACTAAATTTAAAAAAAATATGTTATTTGGTCACTTTCATTTTTATTTAATTAAGATGTGATTATTGAGGGTTAATTGTCGTTAGACATTTAACAAATTATTAATGTGGCACAGTGAATATATAAAAGTAAAAAAGATAAATTAAACAAATGATCATCATGTTTGAGTAAGTTTTCAATTTTTTTCCAATAAAATTTACACTTAGTGATTATGATCTATGTGAATTGCACTGAATAATAGTAACACTGCGACAGTGGATCAGTGCTTCAAGATAAGACAATGCAGACCAAGGGTCTATTCGAAACGATGATAAGTCACCCTTGCATTAAGGACACCTCATTTGTGTTAATAGTAAACAAGTATGACCTATTTGAGGACAAGGTGAATCAAGTGGCTTTAAGCATTTGTGAGTGGTTTGGTGATTTCAGTTCAGTGAGACAGGTTCATAGTCACCAATCTCTAGCTCAACAAGCTTACTTTTATATTGCAATGAAGTTCAAGGATCTTTATGCTTCCCTAACCAGAAAGAAGCTTTTCGTGTCGCAAGCTAGGGCAAGGGACCATTGAATAACGATCGAGGAAGCATTTAAAGATATAAGAGAGGTTCTCAGAAGAGAAAGATGAAAACTACATAGGAGGAGAAGGAGGAGGAGGAGGAGAGTCGTTCTACAGTACAAATGTTAGTTACTAATCATAATTACGGGATTTCAAATTCCTATGAATGATTCTCAATCTCGAATCTTGGTGGAGGTAAAGAAGCCGAAGGAATAATAGTGGTAAGATTGTTGAGGTAAAACGAAAATTTAGTGACTATTTGATGTAAGTTTATTTTTTTATTTTATATATTCATTGTGTCAAATCAATAATCTGTTAAAAGTCTAACGACAATTAACCTTCGGTGATCATATCTTAATTAAATAAAATGAAAGTAACCAAATATTATATTTTTTTAATTTAGTGGGAAAATGTATAAAAAAAGGATAAACTATGCATTTAGTGCCTAAACTATCAGTTTTGGTTTATTTTAGTATCTAAACTTTCAATTTTTTCATAATCATATCTAACTTTTAGTTTTCATTTCATTTCAGTACCCATCTTTAAAAATTTAACACGTTTAGAACATAAACTATCAGTTTTATCCGTTTTAGTACCTAAACTTTCAATCTTTTCAAAATTTAATGTTAAATTTTGAACGGGATACTAAAAGGGTACAAAAACTAGAGTTTTCAACGACAAAATACTAAAATGAAATAAAAACTAAATTTTAGGTATGGTTTTGAAAGTTTAGGTACTAAAACGAATCAAAATTGATCGTTTGTGTACTAAAAGTGTAATTTACCCAAAAATAAAGTAATTTTGCTTCACTCTCAATGTGGGGTCTACTGTCACGTGACTTTTATCCGACTGTAATCTGTCGTAGATTTGGTTTAGTGTTAAAAGAGGGTTCATTAACAACTAGTGTATGAAACCTCACCAGATTATATCGAAATTAATTGGGGAACTTCAATTATCATATTTCAAAGAACATGTAGTTAAGTTTTGTACGACTCTAATACCAGTTCAAACACGATTAAATCACACATTATATCATCCTAGTAAAGCACAGCATAATTTCATAAATAAAACCAGTTGTTGATACATTCAATTGAGCCCCAGCAGCAGCATTTAAGGATCGAACAAAGTGGAGCCACATCTGCATTTCCATCCTTCAGGCTCATAATTGGTGTACTGAATCCCCCGTTCACCTGTCGTTGCAGGGATTTGGGTCGCAACACAAGGCGTACACTCTCCGCACTTGCGTTGGCAGTTCGGTGGCCTTGACCCCACCACCATTCTACTGCTATATGTCTCTCCACCATTCCTACTTTCAACACCACCCTGTTTAGAGTCGAAGCTAACTCCTGATAACGCCGGAATAGTATCTGTTTGATTCAAAACAAGGAATTGACAGGGTAAGGTTTCAAGGTTAAATAAAGGACATACGTTAGCAATGAAGATGGGTTTTTTTTTCGATGGAAATACGACAGCTAAATGACAAACCTTGTTTTTGAGGAACATGATGAGATGCTAAAGAGCTGGTTGATGTATGAATCCGACTTATAATCTGCAAAATAATGGTAATTATGAGAATACAACACATTCTTTGCTTCATTTTCCTGAGAAGAAATGACGAGGCGGTGATGAGGAAGGTTTTAAGAGCACAAACGAAACAATTTGAATAGAGAGAAACAAGGCAGTTTATAGCAACAAAACAATCCACATAAACACCTTAAATAATTCAGAATGAAAAAAAAACGACAGAAATAATTTAGACAAAGAAGTTATCAAATCTGTCTGTGGTTCTATCACTCGCAGATGTCTAGACGAATGGATCTTGCTTCACAGACAAGTTATGTGGCCTTCTTATAAAACTGATTGGCAGCTAGGCCTACGGAAACTCACTAGTTAGCCTTTTCTCCTCTTTTCTTTAAAAAAATAAACAAATATACAATACCAGACTATTTTATAATCGTTTAAATTCTTAAAATCAGAGTTACTATACTCAAGTATATTCGTAATTATAATTCTTAAAAATGGCAATAGATACAAAAAATTAATAAAATTCAGTTTATCAATAAAAATAGTCAATGCTGCCCAACGTACTACTTGACTGATGATTCAGCGGGAAAAATAAAAAAGAGAGAAGTACAGGGGGAGGATGCACTTCTGGCATAGCCTGCATGAAACTATCCTGATGAAAACAAACACTGACTTTAGTGATGAGAAGTCACAGTAAAAAGACAAACGGGAGCTGCTCAGAAATAATCGATGGATGATCTTTCTGGTTGATATAATCGTTGTTTTAGCATCATTTTAGCACTGGTCTCATAGGCTCATACTAGGCATTGCCCACTGTCAACTGCTCGTAAAGCTCACGCCCAGCGATCTGTGCATGCCTATGAGCCCATCCTTTGTCTAGACAATACCGCCTACAAAGATATGTTGAAGGTTTATTACACTCTCTGCCTAAAGTTTAGGGTTTTTTAATCAAATATTAATCCACACTTTTTGGAGTTCTATATGCTTAATATATATTTCAAATTTGTCCCCATTTTTGTTTTTAAATTGAAATTTTAATTTATGATTTGATTAGTGTTTTGATTATACTTTCCTTCCGCAATCTCTTACTATTCAAAAGGTAATTTATGACACGAATATTGTTATTCTTAGAGGTCACGAGTCTAAACACTAGTGATTACAGTAAGATGATTGAACGTTCATTGTCAAATAATTCAAAGTATTTAGAATAAATATTATCTTTGTAATCACTTTAATTTAATAAAGGAAAAGTAATTTATGCATGTAAATTGCAGTAGTTGTATCGGACAACCTACATAGATTAACTTTTGTGTTAAATTGTATTTTAGATTATGAAATTATAATTTATAATTATTTTGATATATGAAGAATATTTTTATTTAATTTAAATTTTTTTAAATTTAATAGTGCATGCTATTTTAATTTTTTGGTACAAGCTATTTTAATTTATTTTCATATTGTCGGAGTCGTCTTTCGGTTGGGCCCAGAATTGGGCTTCGATTTAAGAAAATAGATTAGGAGTCGCCACCGATCTTTTATTTTGAAATAAATAGGTAGATCGGATACCTTATTCCTTATATGATCTGCATCTTACCAGTGATATGTCAGATTCGGGAGTCGGTTACAGTCAATGAAGGGTTAGCACCATTGAACTGCCCTTTCGGTACTACGCAATTTCCAGTTGTCTTTAATTAAGAAAGTTGTAAATTTAAATTACAATGTAAAATAAATATCCAAAACTTATCACTGATTGATTTAAAAGTGAACCCTTAAAAAAGTTGAGAAACAAGTTAGATGAAAAAGAAAATGAAAGTACATAAATAAAACAAAGAAAACACATAAACAACGTGAATAAACAAAATGAGAAAAAAAATAAGAAAATAAAAGAAGTAAAAGTAAAAATAAACAAGGAAAATGAATAAAGCAAATAACGTAATAATAATATAACAAATAAATAAATGAAACAACAATAAAAATAAATAAGGAAAAAATATATAAAGAGAATAGAAAATAAATGAAGACAAAGGAAAAAAATAAAAATATAAAATTACAGAAAATAAGAAAATATAAAAAAGAAAAGAAAAGAAAAAAAGGGTAAAATATAAGTTAAAAGTAAAATAGTAATAATAATAATCATAATGTTAATAAAAATAAAATATACATACATACGTTAATAAATAGTAATAATAATAGTTATATAAATATATATATATTAAAGGACAAAATTTGGTATCTTCAGCTGCCCCTCTTTGCTCATTATCATGTAAAGAAAATGGAGCAAAGATTACAAGACACAAATTTCGTCTATATCGAACATCCTCTGTCGTAGAGTAGAAATCCAATATTGAGACTGATTTGTCGAAGTGACTCCCTCGCCGTGAGGTTGAGTTGAACTGAAGACTTTTGAGCACGAAATCCTTCGTCGTGAAGTTAAAATTAAACTTAAAGCATTATAAAGTAGCTCATGGATCGTCTTCTAGCCAAAGATACTTCGTCGTGAAGCTGAAACTTGACTTGAAGACTTTGGTGTTGCTGTGTGAAGTTGGGTCAATCTGTTGGGGGTACGACACCATTCGTTGTGGAGTTGGAATCATATATGGCCCCTTCGTCGTGAAGTTGAGCCTTCGAATTGGATATCCTTTGTCGTGAAGTTGAAATCCAATGTAAGTTGTGATGTTTTGAGGCCAATATCCTTCGGTGTGAAGTTGAAATTGACTCTGAAACTGAAAATTTTATCAACATACATTCCTTCTTTGAGTTGGATATCCTTCGTCGTGAAGTTGAAATTCAATCCAGAGATGGATGTTGCTTGTGTGCACGATTCCCTTCTTCGCGAAGTTGAAACCGTGGGTGGCCCCTTCGTCGTGAAGTTGAAATCTAAGTAAGTTGTATTGTTTTGAGTCTAATATCCTCTGTCGTGAAGTTGAAATTGGCTCTGAAACTGGGAAGCCCCTTCGTTGTGAAGTTGAGCCTCAAATGGCACGATATCCTCCGTCGTGGAGTTGAAATCGTGGATGTGTGGGTACGATATCATCCGTCTTGGAGTTAAAATCGTGGATGGTCCCTTCGTCGTGAAGTTGAACCTTGACTTGAATATCCTTAAGTTGAAATCCAAGTATTGTATGTTGCGGGTGGACACGATTCCCTTCGCCGTGAAGTTAAACCCGTGGATGACCCCTTCGTTGTGAAGTTTGGCTTCGAGTTAGATATCCTTCATCGTGAAGTTGAAATCTACTCTCGAGTAAATTGTGTCGTTTGGAGTCCAATATCCTTCACTGTGAAGTTGAAATTGACTCTAGCTAAAACCTGCAAAGTTATGCATATATGTGATGCTATAGATGTAATACTCTTAGGTATGCCTAAAATGCATATGCAACATATGTTATTTCGGGCTTTGGAGAGAAGTCTCAATCTCCGGTTGCTTGTCTTGTTGACTCTTGATTCTGGAATCTTGAAGTTCTGATTCATGGTCTTGAATTCTTCAACGTTCAAATTTGATGTGCATATTCTATTTTTTTCTTGATTTGGGAAATGCTTCTCGACCATCTCAAGTATGTTCATGAGCCTTGATCGGCTTCTGGGTACCTGTACTTTTCAATGAATCTTTGTACAGTAATATGCGATTATCTTTTGTAGAAGTAAATAAACTATTAAGTTTAAGTTCAATCCAATATGCTCAAAAGGAATTGATTTAAAGGAAAGATTGTCTTTATTCATATGGGAAAAGAACAAATAATATATGACAAACATTCTCGAAAATGAATACATGATGAAGTGTGAATGAATGTCTTAGATTTCGATAATGTGGGCACTTCTTAGCTGACAAGCCATTAGGTGACCTTGAACGCAGCCTTTGCCAAGGAATCTTCAAAAATACGACAACGTTCTGGAAAGTGCAACCTTTTTTCGACTCGTTGAGTTTGTAGAAGATTCAGATGACGGGATGTTTCCACTGTCAATATCCAAATTGCCCTTTTGGGTTTTCAACTTGGATCCATCATTGGTTGCAAGACGCCCTTTGCGGGTTTTCATCTTGAACCCACCTTATTTTTCTTTTCTCTTTTTCTTTTGTTCTTTTTTTTTCTCAATTTAGGGCGCCCTTTCAAGTTTTCACCGTAAACGATTTTTCTATTTTTTGTTTTTTTTGTTTTTTTCTCTTTTTTTCCAACTTAGGACGCCCTCTTCGGTTTTTATCCTAAGCAAAGTATTTCTTAACTGCATTCGAATTAATGGGATATGGCAGTTCAGGTCCGTCCATTTCAGCCAGGACAAGGGCTCCTCCGGAAAAGGCCTTTTTCATGACATAAGGTCCTTCCCAATTTGGCGTCCATTTTCCTCGGAAATCTTTCTAGACTGGCCAAATTCTCTTTAACACCAGATCTCCTTCGCGAAATATTCTCGGGTACACATTTTTTTCATTTGCTCAGATCATTCGTTTCTGATAGATTTGACAATGGTGAATGGCTTTCAGTCTTTTTTCATCTATTAGATTCAGTTGATCGTATCAGGATTGCACCCATTCTGCATCATCCAATTTGACTTCTGTCAAGACTCAGTGTGACGGAATCTCTACTTCAATGGGCAACAATGCTTCTATTCCATAAGCGAGTGAAAATGGAGTTGCCTCAGTCGAGGTTCGTACCGAGGTTTGGTAAGCGAACAAAGGAAAAGGCAACTTCTCATGCCAGTCTTTATTAGGTCTCGGTCGTCTTCTCCACTATCTTTTTGATGTTTTTGTTTGCTGCCTCTACTGCTCCGTTCATCTTTGGTCTGTAAGCAGTAGAATTGTGATGCTTTATGTTGAACTTTTCACAAGCAGCATCCATCATCTTATTGTTCAAGTTTGTAGCATTATCGGTAATGATCCTTTCAGGTAAACCATACCGATATATGATCTTTTTTTTTCAAAAACTTGCAAATAGTTGACTGAGTAACACTGGCAAACGATACAACTTCTACCTATTTTGTGAAGTAATCAATGGCTACAAGGATGAACCGGTGACCATTTGAAGCCTTCGGATGTATTTTCCCGATAACATCCATGCCCCATACAGAGAAAGGCCATGGTGATGTCATCACATGAAGTGGATGGGGTGGAACATTTATTTTATCTCCGTAAATCTGATATTTA